ATGGTCCACAATAGTATTTAACACTAGGTTTACTGAACGCGTCAATTTGTTGCACATTGACTTTTTACAGATTATTTATTGAATGTTTACGTCGATTTTAATTGAAGCAATTATGTGAATACCGTATCTTAACAGTCTGTTTTAAATCCCCAATTTCCATGATTTAAACAAACGAATATTAATTTCTAGGATCAATACAATAAACCGCACAAGTAGACCTATGTTATTCAATTTCAATGAAATATATACACATTTTGTTCACATGTACGTTAAGCCGTGTACATACAAGAAATTTCAAAATATCTATTAACCGATGAGTATATAACATACTTAACGCTTTTAAAATATCAATCATTACGAAATAAGAGAACTGAAATCCGTCTTTGTGATCCCCAGCGTTAATGAAATATTGCACTTATGAAGATTACCACTGAATCAAACGCTGGTCGCGTTTTAAATATTGAAATGATGCCAAAATTTTCACAATTTTTGTACATGGTTAATAAATAAATTTTTTCTTTGATAAAACTTTCCAGACTATTACAACGTGTATAAAGAACACTCCTTTCGTCGTGTTTACTGAGTACTGGTTTAGCCAGCAAACAGTTCAGAACTGTTGTTTTTATTTCTTGCAAAAACATGTCAAAACTTTCGCATCAACCCAATACTTCCGAGGGCCATTGTATCTACCAAATGTTCGAGCCGGCAAGTACGCATTTTCTCCGAGCTCTACCCACATCCAAACATCCGAGTCATCAATCAAGGAAGTAAAGTGGGGGAAATCTCCCTTGACGACTACTGGTGGGTCTCCGAAATCGATTTTTGCGGCGATTCAACTATACGTAGATACATACATGGCTACGTAGTTGCTTTTTGTACTCTCCGGTCGGTTTCGTGCTCTCTACGGTACCGTAAAACCGTCTTGAGGAGTTGCCCGATCTCTCAGACGTTCTCTAAACCCCTGATTAGCGGAGCGGCCGGCGCGGGAAACAGGCGCGCGAGAGACGGCGACATACGGCGTCGCATGATGCACCGAGGCAACCGAGAAAAAGGGTGGATACGGTGAATGGGGCTATTAGGGCAAAGGGGGTCAGATGCGTGCGATGCAACGCGCCGCACCGTGCCGCGCCTCGTCACGCCGCGTCGCGGTGCAGCGTACCGCCGTATATTAAAGGGGAGTAAAAGGGGAGAAAATGAACGAGATACGAGCGAGATAGACAGCAAGCGGAATTCGGGAGAATGAAGGAGACGAAGAGCGATCGACTACCGAACGAAAAAGTAATTTAGAAAAAAACGAGAATGGGGCCGGAGCAGAGAAGTTTCGGTCGGAGAGGACGGTGATCGTATGGAAGACTGGCAGCGTGATCAAAGAAACTGACTTGCTCGGGGTCTTGATGAAAGGCATTTGTGTTCGAATTGTGGGAGATAGTGTGATACATAATTTCTTTTAGTTCATTAAGAGTCTAGCAGGATTCTAGGAAAATCAAAGTTTCTGAAAGATTTCAATTTTGGTTCCCGTTATTTGTACGTGTAATTGTTGTCAATGTAACGGTTTTGCTGGGAAACTATTAGATAGATTGATTTATTGTAATATAAATGTTATTTTCTTGCAACAATCAATCATTACTGTTCTTTGAAATAAAGGTCTATTATACAATAAAAAAGAGCTCCAATAAATCCACTGTATTTATACAGGAATGCATAAACCATATAACCAGTAATCAAGTTTAACTTCATAAATTGGTATTATTAAACTGTTGAGCGCCATATTCATGAAGCAGTGTTAGAAATAAACCATTATTAAAAACAAAGTTATCTTATAGTTTTCGAATCTCTCTTGACCTCTAAGCAGGTACAATTACAGGTACTTAAGTTTGTTCGATTAAAACTGTAGAATACATGCAATAATCAATTTTATTATTTCTAATATTATTATTCTCGATAATTCAAAATTATCAATTTTAAACAATCCAATATCGAACATCGAATTTAATCATTCTATAATTATCAATTGAAATATGTATAAAGTACCAACGACGAACTGGCCCCATTAAAATTTCGTCACGCACTCGGCCGTTTTAGTTCGACTCGATTCGAATCGGCACAAAGTGCCATCGGACCTTTAATTCGATTTCCAGGAGTAACTCGATTCCCGACGTTCTACGTATGAAACATTTAAAACAAGCCACCCTGTACATGGCAGCTGCAGAACGGAACAGCTGACGCTCACGTACGAAAGAGGCGCTTTGTAATTTCATTGTTTGCGCCCTCTCCTATACGGTTCTGCGTTGTTGACGTATTTCGGCGGGAGTGAGAGAGGTTATTGAACAATTACGCGGGAACATGTAATGTGTCTTCAATAATTACTACATGCATTCATTGCGGCGGTCACGGGTCGCATCGAATTGTTCACTAAATGTATCGTTACTGTGCGAGCAACACGATTTTGTAGCGTTAGTGTGGCTCTATCATGTATAATGTACCTTGTAATCTAACTACAGGAAATGAGACATTTGGTTTCAGCTTAAGACGAATTTCATTTGAAATTGAAACATAAATCATTGGTAATAAATAGAAATAAAGAATAAATCGGTTCTTTGTTATCGGTGTGGTCACATGAAAATACAGAAAGTATTGATTTACTTGGAATAATATTGATTTCAAGTAGTAAATAATTTCCTTACTTCTTTCTGTGAAGTTCTATATATTTGTCAACTAACTAGAAGCTAGTAGCGTATTGAATTAATATCGTACAAATATCGTTTCTTGAAAAGGATTCTACGAACAAATAAATACCTGATATTACAACAACGTTCCCGAAAATTAAGTAAATCTGCGAATGAATCTAAAAATGCAGACTCTTCATAAAAATGAAATTGACTAAAATCAAAGGAAACGTCATTTCGTTTATTCAATTTCCTTCAATATTTATTTCATTTGCTCTGATTTAATAAGAAATGTTACAACACAAGATCCAAGGTCTAATTAGACGTGTTAGATCTTGATACGCTTTCCGGAAGCATCACGCGAGTACCGACTGTTCCCGATACACACGAGTATCATCGAGTACCCACTGTAGGACAGATGATAATGTATAGTCTGGAAATGATACTATCAATTCGACATCATTTCCATCGCCAGCGAGATCCCATCGTCGCGCAGTCGGATGCGGCCGACTGTTCCGGAATTATCGGTATAGGCAATCAAGAAACCGCGGCGAGTGTCTTCCGTTTGTGTGCGTGCATGTAATTCGCATTGTTTCACCTCGTTACCGTTTATTCCGGCCGGATCGATCCGCCGCGACTGCGATTTAAGCTTCATTAATTTTCGTCGATGTTTATCGCACGACTCGATGTCAACTGACGTTTAATAAAACGTAATTGGTTTCTAGGGCCGAACTGGTACATCGTGTTCATCGATGACAATAATGAATAAGCCAACGACAGATCACTTTGATTGGGAATAATGGAGTGTATCGCCGGAGAGCGTTCCGTTTGTTCGCAAATCGTTGAAACGCCGGACGGTTGAGCACTTTTAATTTTGTTTCGAGAATTATGGACAGTTCGGTGAACTGTAACGTTTAAGTGTGTGTTCAGATAAGAGATTCGTGAACTGTGTGCATGTAATTTCAAAATATGGGATTCCAAAACGGAAGTTCAATACATTTCATTTACTAGTTTGGAAAGAAAAGTGTAGTATTGAAAAGGAATTTTAGTATTATGTAAGTTTATGTAGAGATCGTTGAGCATTGTGAAGGGTGTTATCTAATTGAAATTAGAAATAAAATTTCGTTCATGTATTTTTTTTTAGAAATATACTATATCATTATATGCTATACATCTTGTTTAAAATGTGTTCTTTTAATATTTCATATTTTTTTCTTATAATCCGTGAGAAGATGTGTGAATATGTACTATCATCACCTGGTATTCAAATATTTATATGAATTTTTGTTGTTAATTTTTAAGTAATTTACTATTTTGAATCGAATTCAATAAAATCTATCAAACCTCATACATTGTAGATATTGTTATTTTCTACAGTGAAATGAAGACTTGAATTGAATATAAATTTAATCCGTTAAAATTAAATTTCGCAGTAATGAAAATGCGATGGCGTTCTTAATTAAATTAAGCCATGGTATTAAACGATATTAAATGTATACGTTCTATACAAATGACGATAATTATTGAGCATGCGATTGCCAATTCATTAAAGTTATATAAAATTCATTCCAATTAGGATAATATTACTGAGGGAACAATAAAATGAAAAGTTAATATTTTTGAAGCATTATTCAATTTAAAATCTGAATTGATGGATCGAACAGAAATGTCATACTTCTTTTTAAAAGAACATATTTTTCGTTTTAATTACTCAAAAATATATACGTATAATAGACGTATTAAATAATTGTTTAGTAAAATAAGTTCATTATAAAATAAGAACATGTCTGCTTTTTAGTTCTGCTTATTATTCTTTCCGGTAAAGATAAAATTCAATTATATATATAGGGACAGAACGAGTTTCCAAACAAAATATAACAACTAACAACTAATGAAAGAACTCGAGTAACTTGAAAATTCCAATTTCTATTAAATTTCCTCTCATTTATCTAGTGAGATTGATAACTCATTTTGAAGTTTCATCTGCGTTCTCCTACTTTCCTATATATTTTGAAGATTACACTAAATATACAGAATTATCACTAGAAACATTTCTATTTAATTCCATTACAATAATTTCTGATACCTATCATATTCACATCACTAGTTATCCTAAAAAGCTAAGAGTAGTAAACAGAAGGTATGAATAAATTGCATTAAAACCCCCTGTAAACCCATGAAATTTCCATAAAACGGGCATTTTCGGGTTACTGGGGTCCCGTTATAATCGTGCTTCGTCGTAATATTATCCTGTTTGATAACGAACACGGAATTAAAGTACATTTAAACGATGAATACCACCGGCGAAATATCGATTTAGCTAAGTTCGCTGACCTTGTGATGAGAGGAATGGCCCGTGTGATTGGCGGAGGTGTGATTTCCGGCGGGAAGAGATGCCAGGTCCTCGATGGTTAATTCTGCTAAGGCGTCGTTGCCACCGCTGCAACCGCCTAGCAGGCCGCCTGCAATGACGCCACCGCTTCCTGGACTGCCCCCGATGCAACCTCCATCCGACCTTACAACGTTCGCGGAGGGTCTCTTCTGCACCCTCCTCGAGGTCACCAGTTCCTTCACCCCTGACAACTCTCGCCTCGAACCACCCACGTATCTAAAAACAGCACGTGCGGCACTCGTTATTGTTTAGCTTCAACATAACCCCGTGCGCCAATGTAGGCTGCGACTTGTGCATTGTTCGGGTATAATTGTTACGTTAATATTTTGTGAATTCGATTGAAACAACGTTGCCGTTTAATTAATTTATTCGAAATCAGGGTTCTTTTTCTGGAAAAAAAAACAGTCCCCAGCAGGCAAAATTATCATTTTCATCATTTTTCAGTTTTTGGAGTCTCCACGGTTCTCATTGTGGGTTACACTTTTTGGTACTTACGTATTATACAGATATCCTTTGTTTTTTAACTACAGGTCGCATTGGTCAGTCATTTGTATCAATATATTATTTCTTAAAAGCGAAGGCAGTTCGTGTAATACGTAAGTACCCACTTTTAGGGATCTTAGTTTGAAAGCGATACGACTTTATATTTTTATAGACCTTTGACCTCTTGTGCTGATGATCAATTCAGATATATGGCAGAGTTTTGTGCAAGGAAATTTGTTTTTACCTATTCTACGCAGAATAATTTTATATGGTGATACATTTCAAAACAATCTATAATAGTACGAGTAACGCAACAGGACTATCGATGTAAGGTGCCATTGATACTTTTGGAACAAAAAGATCTTGACGTGTGTGGTGCGGCTTTCTAGAGCAAGCGGTGAATTTTTACTATTAACTAGTAAAGTGAACTAGTTATTCATTACTGATTGATAATAGGAATTCATGATCATTTCACACGTGATCTGTAATTGGTTTCGAACAGATTAAGGGGATGTAATCTTTTGGCTCTTTGGAAAACGGGTACAGTTGTCGGGTATGTTTATAACACAAGGGGTTGATAAAAATGTATTATGCTTTCAAGAACTCTTTCTTTAGAAGGTACAAGACTAAACTTCAGAAACTTTTTTAATTTTAGACAGCAACAAGGTGGGCGTGAAAGCGACCGTAGATCGTATCCGAAATTAAGAACTTGAATTTTCTCTTATTAATTATGTTAATAGTTATTCGTTACCCGAGATTCTTATAAAAACTGTGAAAAATAGAAGAATGACTACATGTTAAAAGAAAAGTTACATCTTTCTAAAGAAAATATTCGCTGTTTTTTATCGTAACTAACTAATAGAGACTTGGGTTTAGAAAAAGATTCTACTCGCACGTATAAGATTTAGAGTTAATTAGTCCATCGAAGTCTGAATTTCCACATCCATAGCATAGAAGAAAGATGTTTTGAGAAAATACTTCATTTCTGTTTGCGTGGGTTAAGTTTGTCTATACATTTCAAGGACAAAAAAATATGATTGTTATTCAAAGCATCAATTTGATTTTGATTTAAAAGGATCGACGGTACACGTGTTTTGAATCATAATATTCCTTATTAACATGGTAATTACGGTAATACGAAAATTTGAGTACACGTATATATTATTAATACGCAACTTATTGCACTTGAAGTAAATAGTTTGACGTCTTAAAATTATAAAAAGCACTATTATACAAAGACATATTATATAAACACACATAGAAAATACAATAATCTCTTCTCTGTAATTCTTCGTGGGTCATACATTTTGTTCAATTTAACTTTATGCATTCCGTTACCTATACATGACTAAAGTAGTATGTAATACGATATAAAGTTCTGAATGCAAAATAATACTTGAAACGTTGGAAAACTTACCCTTCTTTAATTGAAATTAAATCAATATTAACAATTACATTTAAGTTTAACTCAACAAAGTAATATTATTAAGAGAGTATTTAGTAATTTTAGTTTATATTATTTCAACATTAGGTTGTACATTTTATTCATCCTATATCATCTGAAATAATCGAAGATACTAAAGAAACTAGAATGATAGAACTTTCTCATTTAGAGACACTCGGATAAGGTAACGCGAGGAATATAAAGTTGGATGCGCTAGACAATGGAGGCCCCGTAGTTTCTTTTCGAAGAAGCATCTGACGAAACGTTGCAAACGTTTCAAGAGGCATCGAGAGCCCTGTCTCGTGTCTACAGATCGTGCCAAATGAGGGTGGATTTGAATCGTACAGAAATTGCTCTATTAGCGAGATTAGATCCACGAGCCAATCCACTCGACGGACAGTGTCCGTCCAGTAAGCTGCTCCAAATCGATGAATTGCCGTTCTCCTGTCTGTCCTCTTTGTGAACAGGTCTTCGTGCTTGTTGTCAATTAAAAGTAGACAAAAGTTATCGGATTGTCACTCTTTCGTTAGTTTCTACGTAGCCGAGTTCTAAAGTAAATACGTCGCTTCACTTGTCGCTTTGAGCATCCTCACATTTTTCACGAGTTGAACACTTGCTTCAAAGCTAGTTTGTGACAATTAAAGTGCAATCGAATTGGTACTGTCCGAGAAAGGATCGAATGCTCCCGTAACTACATTTGCCGTAGTTACTTATTAACAAGTCGAAGTAACTTTCATTTGTATTTATATCTGTATTTTTCCTTTAAATTGTAATTTTCAAAATTCCGTTTCATTTTCTATATATCCGTTCTACAAGGAGAATTGTTTCATTTTAAAATAAAGCAATACTGAGAATTATATTCAAGTGTCATTCTAATAATTAGCAAGACAATGTAACTGAAATATGAACTTTTTAAAAATGTGACTCTAATTGTTAGTAAAAGAGGAATGAAAATGAATAAAATAGTATCACTTACTACAAAAAAGTCTAAATTGTATGTCAATTTCGTACATTCTTGTATTTGAAGAATATTTTCGATGTTTTTTAAATGGCAATTAAGAATTCTCCGAGTCTCTTTTTGTTAAAAAATGTTTCATCAACAATTTACTACAATTTATCTCGTAGTTCCGAAAAAAATCTATCTGCTTTGATATTCAGATTTTAATCAAAAATTGACAACCCATTAATTCGATAATTTTCACGAAAAAAACTAAGGACATTTCAACATTCAAATACAAGAATACCTTGTGCAATGCACGCTCGATGTATCCGATAAAATACTGATTACCGAGAGCAGCGGCAGGTCTCAAATTAAACGAAGTGGTTTATTCTAACGTCGGATACCGATCATTAAGCTGACAAGAAAAATCTCGAGTCGATTCTGCACAGGCAGGACGTCGGCTAATTAAGTTGTAAGTGGGGGAAGTCGGAACTTGTACGGGCGATCGCAAGAAGATGCGTTTGCTTTACATTTAGACATGCCGCCGGTAACAAATTCGCTGACGCAAATCCTAGGAAGTCTCGTGGACTCGCGCGATTAATAATTCACGAATCACGCGTCCAGGATTAGGATTACTGCGCTTACGTGAGCGCATCGCCGGCTGCAAGACTTTACCGGCTAATGCGATTAACGCACTACGCTCTCTACAATGCTTTTTCCGGCATTCTTTCGCAAGCATTCCGATTACGTTTTTTCCGCCATTAGAAGACTTATCCTGTGTTAAACAATATTACACCTGATTTCACTCTAACCCTTTCATAGTTTCTGCGAGCTTCGCGTTTTTTCAGCGAATAATATATCTATACTTCGGATCTTTGAACTTTACGATTAAAAAATACGTTGCATATTCATTCGTGACTTATTTCTTTGTTTGATTTTTAGGAAATCTTTTTTACGCTCTTATGTTGCGATGTGATTCAAACGTGATAATACAGGCGAACATTTATAAAATTGTATGCTATCGGATGGGACAAGCTTTGATTTTTGATAAAAGCTTTTTAATTTTAGCAATTTTGTGAGCAATAACAGAGTAATTGTAAATTGTACGTCTTACTCTTTACAAATAACCGAGAATAATATATTTTATTATTGAATACACTAAATATAAAGACAAATAATATTATATATATATATATATATATATATATATATATATAATCACGTGATTTGAATATGTAATCACTTTGGAAAAGAAATTATTCTTACGAGGAACGTTTCATTTATCGCCTTTTAAAACCTGAGAATGTTTTATATCGCATTAAAAATACGAACACGACTTCACACTTCGCATGAAGCAAAAAGAAAGCGAAGTCACGAAAGAAGTGGAGAAAGTAGCAGCTGTGTATCCTTGTATCCTATAATTTCATCGCCCAGAAAAGGACACTTTTACTGCGACTGATATCGTTAAAACTTAAAACGAATACTTCATATTTTCATTTTGAAATAACAACTTTCTCACTACATAACTGTTTAATAATATTTTGTCTTGATCAAATGAAATCGCGATACTAAATTGTTCAAAAAATTATTCCAAACGATCGTATTCGAAGCAACCAGACAATAATACATCAGAAATTTGGCGTGTATCCTATTTTCACGTACAATGACCATACGAACGATTCCTACGCAGAATATTCCTGGTACCAATAATATTTTCCTAGAAACTTTTTCACACAAAACAAAAACAACAATACACCATCTCCGATAAGAACTCAAAACCCCTAATCACGTTACATCGACTCCTGCCTCATTTATCCTCGATCTGCTCATTGACATTCCACATTACAAGAACCTACTCAAACCACCCCAGCAATACATCTCGCGCCATTGTTTTCCCAATTTCCAAGTTTTCACGAGAGTCTGCGGTATTACTCGACGGCGCTTGAACAGTACTTACTCCTCGTCCGATGTCGAGCACCTCTATCAGCGAAACTATACGTCAGAGGGGGTGTCGAAGCTGATCATCCCCGAAAAACGTGTTAACCTTGACAGGCCCAGTAGCAACAACCTCCCATGAGAAGACCAGGCAAGCTGACAAGAATGTTTAAACGAACCTTAAAATTACCGTGAACGCGCGTTCGTCGGTCTCTGGTAGTGTTCTTCCTCCCCAGGACGTCAGCGGTTGATGTTCTTAACGCGTACACACCTCACGCGGCTCGGGTGCTCGCGAAGCATCACAATGCCCGGCGGACCGTGTTCCGTTCACTGTTTCCGCGTGGCGAGAGAAACCAGCCGAGAATAAGGCGGAAAAAACTATCAACAGGGAAAAACGACGTAGGAGTCGTGAAC